CAAATGGTATCTCGAATAATTGATTGTTTATTATTCATCTCTTCTTGTCGTATTTTCGAGCACTTAAACTGACTTTCAATTCCGAGATAACGGCCAATATTTTGTTACCTTTATCAGGTCATCATGATCCTAGCTTAGTAATGGATGTGAGAATGATCATTAGTTGTCTTGTGGGAAAAATATGCAGAAAAACGATTTATATGGCTTCAGTTTTTTTTAATAAGAGGATAAAATAATTGTGCAGAAAAGTTTATAAATCAATTTGAAATTTCTCAGGCGGTCGCGCCTACACAGGGAGCAGATTCTATTCAGCAACTCTCAATTCCACCTCCACCACCAAGTCGTCCACTGTCTGCTTTTGATATGACAGCACCTGAAGAGACATCGAAAAAAATGGAACTTGAAACTATCAAGGAAGTGATTAAAAAAGAGCCAGGCTTAGCAGAGCGTGTTACTTCTCTCAAAGTCAATGGCATCGGTTTTGATGTTGATTTTGTTGTTGGTTCGACATTAAATACTTCAGTAAGTAGTATTTTCAGTAAGTAATAGTAGATGTTATGTTTTAATGCACTAGTACTGATGAATCTAGTTATATTCCACTTAATTTTGCTTCGTAAATACATATACATATTCATATGTATCATTCCCGTTGACTTTAAAATTTAACTCAAAATGATTTCAAAGTTGACTTGGGAATTTTTAATTCGAAATTAGAAGTAAATAAAATTAAAGGATTTTTGACATTCTGGTCAATTTTACTGAAGATATGTTCTGCAAAGAAGTTTTCGAACCAAGATTGCTGCCTCAGTTTGCAGTTTGCAAGAAATGCAAGAAATGTCAAAGATGAAGTTTGTCATGAATGAAATAGAGCAAAATTTCCATTCCTCGTAGCATCTTAATTTATTGTTCCGAGAAATTTTCCATTGGCTTAAGCATCTTTTCTTACGTTTATTACTTGTTAATGAGTATTTAAGCAATATTTTTAAAAGCTCATTGCAGGGATGTTGTGATTCAGCCTACAGTTAAATTTAATTTGACTTTTCAGCAACATTTTCTGATTTGATTTACAGCATTTCGAGGCGCATCGTATTGTGATGGCTGCAGGGTCAAAAATATTTGAGAGGATGCTTTTCGGTGAAGACGACTCTTTATCACCAATGATTAAGAAACGGAAGGGACGTAAGTAGAAACTAGATAATTTTAGGCAATATTATTTTTATTGATATTCATACATTCTCGTTCATACTTGCCTAGATCTTAGCGCTAAGTGTTATGTAAAAAGTAAAGTCCATTTTGATCTTTGGCTTCGCAGTGTACAAGTTGCTGTAATGTGTTGGGTCGAGAACTGCGACATAATGCTTTGTTTGATGTAATAATTTCATATAATAATGTTCATAGTAATTTTTATTTAATGTCGACTCCTGGTATGAAAGTAGTGCACACTTTTCACTCCGTAATTATCGGTATTTAAAAATATGATGAATCTTCATGATTTGATGTTTTTAAGCATTTAAACTTTTTTTTTTAAAGCAGATCTGAACTGTCCGATAGTTACAATACACTTTTCCGATGTTGATCCAATTGCTTTCCAAACAATCATTGATTATATTTACTCGGATTTCGATGAAACTTCGATTAAAATAGCAGAATCAGCTGTACTTAATACACTTTACGCTGGTAGGTGTTTATAAAACTCAAATTTTATTTCAAATTATAAGTTCTTTGCTATCATTACAATTTTTTTCAGTTACTAGTTTTAATGGATAAATTGAGATTAAAGCGACATATTACAGCAAAAAAATTCGAAATAGCGGTGCTAGAAAAACATTGCGTTGAACTGCTTGGTGAATTGACACCGTCGTTAGCAGTCGCACTTTTGGAACAGGCGATTAGCTTTGGTTCAGAAGAATTACTGGATCGATGTCATCAAGTTATTGATGAACGAAGTGACGAAGCACTTTCATCGGATTGTAAGTCTTTTGAAGTATTTTGCAAATCTACCACAAGGATGTTGTTATAATTATAGTGATTTTGAATTATTTAATTTCCTTAAGGTTGTTAGAAGTTATTTTATAACTTTTAGATAGAATCAAAATGTAGTAAATGAGGTCTGTTGGACTTAATTCTGTAATATTAAAATTGAAAAGTGTGTCTTTTTGCAGAAGAAATGATATCACTGACTTTCTCTTATCCCTCTTTACCTCCGTTTCTGATGTCTTTTTAGAGGCAGTTGAATAATTTTTGTATTTTCAGCACTTACGACTATCAGTATTGAAACCTTGAAAAAATTGGTTAGACGTTCAGAACTCTCACCATCCGGAGAATTGTCAGTTTTCAAAGCAGTGTGTAATTGGGCTGAAGCGGTACATTCTAATCTTTGACTTTATTTTCAACGACAAACGCTTGTTACAAAAGAATATTTAACTGGCGCTCTTCAGAAGTTTTGAATTACTGATTTCAGGAGTGTAAACGTCGTGGAATTGATGTAACATCAGAAAATAAACGCCTCGTTGTTGGCGATGTTCTCAATGATGTACGATTCCCAACAATGACCGTTGAGGAGTTAGGTGAAGCAGGTGGAAAAATACGGAATTTCGAGTTGCTAAGCGGGAGGGTGAAGAAATGAAATGAATAAGTTGATACATATACATATGATACATATGATATAATGGAACATAGTGAGAGTAGGTGTAAGTCTAAATTTCGTGGTATGAAGATGCATGAGACGATTGGAATCATTCTCTATTACTAAGTTAAAACTAAGCTGGAAATTTCTGTTTTATCTTGACATAAGTGAAATTCGTATTGTTTCCAGCAAACTCTGGTCTTTTGAGTGATCTGGAAATTGGTGTCCTATTCCGTTATGTAACATCCACGGTTCATGTGGGCATCGATTTGCCCTATCCCACACATGGTAAGTGAAATTGTGAATGAAATACAAGCAGCGTGAATGATATGAGATATAATGATTTTTTTTTTTGATTTTTAGAACGAAGGATTTTGAGTCGATCGCGCTATGTGGTGCGACGTTTTATGAATCTGAATAAGAACACTTGTAAAAAACAACGCAGTACAATTTGGTATGTTTTTAAATTATTCTCCCGGTGAAATTTTGTTTTTGAATAGATTACCTTGATGTCAGAACTCACAGGCTGAAATAATGTACATTGTAAATTGTTTCCAAACGTGGTTAAAAAAAAATCCTTTTACGTGTTTCCCTAGCTTTTCTGATTAGCATATATACATCCTAGTGTGTCAGTTTTCTATTATATATCTCACTCAGTTCTAAGTCTCGTTCTTGTACTGCTGTTTCCTTGTTCCTTTCTTTCTTCATTCTCTTCTGTGTTAGTCTGTTTCTGAGGTATAATATTGCGGGATGTATGCTATATATTCGAAGGAAAATCTTCAGTTTTAGAAATTATAGTGTGGTCATGGCGCATGCAACTGGAAGTGGAATGTAAAAAATTGCTCAAGATTTCCGTGTAATTCTGGAATACTGTTTCTTGAGAAAAGGAGCGAGAAATATTTATAATAATAATAATAATAATAATAA